AAATTTCTTCTGAAAAGAATATTGTGCAGTCCTGAAGGGTTCTAGCAAAAACAGTTGTTGACATCTTAGTCATAGGGGGATTATTAGTTTGTCTAGTCCCCGTGTGTTTTGACCACCACTGACTTCCCAGATCCTATCACAGATCTCTCTCTCTCTCTCTCTCTCTCTCTCTCTCTCTCTCTCTCTCTCTCTCGCTAACTGTGCTCCAGGCACACTGACCTCCTTTATGTGATTCAAGCCATCAAGCCCACTCCCATATCAGAGTTTTTGCTCTGGCTCTTACTTCTGCCTGAAAGGCCTTTCTTCCAGGCCTTTGCTGGCTGACACCTTCTCATCATCCAAGGTACAGTGTTAAGAGATTAACTAGAGAGGAGTTCAGAGACCAAGTCTCTTACAGCCTTATAAACCATCTTAAGGAACTTGGACATTATCTTAAGGGCAATAGAAAGCCAATGAGGGATTTTAAGCAGGAGAATGATGAACTATGATTACATTTTTAAAAACATCATACTGGCTATTCAATGTAGAAAGGACTGGAGCAAAGGATGTGCAACATGGAAGGAAGAAGACAAGATAGGAGGCTATGGTGTTAACAGTCCTGTTGGTGCCTTAAACCAAGGTGGAAGTCGAGAGAAATAGCTGATATGGAAATAAAACTAGCAGGACTTGCTAATGGATTGGTTTTATTCATTCATTCATTCGATCATTCAGCAGACATTCTGTTGAGCAGCAGTGAACAGAACAGACAAAAATCCCTGTCCTAATGGAATATATATTCTAATAGATGAGTGAAGATATAAATGGAACTGGGACATTGAAAAAGTAGTAGCATTTAAACAGATAAAAGGAAAAAGGGTTCCAGGTATGAGAAATGATACAAGCCAAGTCTGCAAGATGATATTCATTTGAAAATTACCATGAAAAGTAGTTGCAAGCCTTTTTTGCATAATTCTCTTAAAATAGGATTTTACTCTAGTTGAATATTATGGTCCAACAAAATCATTTAATATCAAAACTGTTTATGCATAAGTGCCTGTATGTTATAATAATTCTTCCTCATTAACATCCAGGAGGCAAACTTATTATGGCCTTCTTGAATAGATTAAGGAATTTGTTTTCCAGAAGCAATGTGGCTTGCCTGGGATCATTGAAAAGATGAATGGCAAAATAAGACCTAGAGTATACAGTTTGATTTGGCTTGCTACATCACTGGCTGATTGTATGTGACATCACCCAGTAATCACTCTGTTATTAGACCAGGCAGGAGACCCAACCCAGAGCACAAACATTTGCAGTTCTGCCTCTGATTCCAATGTTGCATGAAAATAGTGGCTGAGACAGAATCAGTTTTGCCCAGGAACCCTCTGAGATGAGATCTTTTGCTCAGGAACCCTTTAAGATCAATACAGCAGATACATTACCTCAGTGAGCAGCATCTAAAGGTTATCTTACAATTCTATCTGGTTCAAGTGGTTCTTCTCTTTTCCCTGTGGCTGGTGCCAAGGCCCTCTGGGAAGGAATCCTTGGCAGATTCGGAGATGCTCCAGTGTGAGCTCTTTCATAAAAGTGATAGTGACCATGGGAAGGAAGGCAAGATGACCCTAAGGAGTCATCTGAGGAAGAGGCGAGCAGATGGCCAAGGAACAGGTCTCAGTGCAAACATTCCACCAAAGTAGTTTTGGGTGCCCATGGGATCTCTGTGACTTTAGCCCAGGGTTCCCTTACTGCCACCAGCAACTATCCACTCAGGAAGGAATGGGAGAGCCTCTCCTCTCGATTTCTCCAAATGTTCCTGGAGTAAACCATTTTATGGCATCTAAAAAGTTCTCACCTGAGGTTAATAGTGGGGGCACAGCATCCCCCCAACCCCCAGCACCCAACTCTCTGTTTGGCATTTGCCAAATGTCTGTCTTCCTGTTCCCCTCAGAGCTGAGAATGATACTTCTTGAGCTGCCTTAACTTGGAATTGTTGTCTTAAGGAAGTCTTATTTCTGTACTTTTGAGATGAAGTCCAGACAAGAGAGAAAGGGAGATATGAAAATGAATCTAAGGACCAAGAGAGAAAGAGAAAAGGAAAACCTAAGCTGTGAGATGGAATAGCTCAAAAGTAGTCAAAGGAAATGCAAAGATAAATCATTTAACTTGGTCCTTAAGTGGATTGACGGAAGATTCTTGGAAGGTTACAAGACAACAGACTGTTTCACAAATAACTGTGAGGATACTGTAAAGAAATAAACCATGTCTTCCATATACTCAAAGAAGAGCTGTCAAAAAGATACAAATGGCTGCTTCTTCCCAGCTGGATTTAGACATTATAATTTTAAGTGATTTGGGCAATTAGTCTGAAAATTTTAATTATCTCACTCTCTCCAACTTGATTTTCTATGCAAATTTAACAAATGTTTGCCCTTTAGCCACACTTTTCCATTGCACCCTGTTTTTCCAAAGTGCATCAGCATATGTGCTTGGTTTCATTTCATTCCTCTCTATCCCCCCTGCCCCATGGGACAAGTTGATCCACCAATTTTACTCATCTGGTTGGGTGCAGATAAAGCTGATCTTATTTAAGGTACTTCTCAGGACTATGTAAAAACAAGACAAAACAAACTAAAAAACACATACCACTTAAAGGAAGGAGTGGGGGAATTGATTAGCAGGAAGCAAACTATTCCCACGTGACATTTTCCCCCTTGTCTGCATAAACCAACTATTTCATGGAAAATCCTACTGCATGTGCTTTGTGCACTCTGAAGTCCTTCAATAGGTTTAATCGCTGTATAATACTCATGCTGTAAGCTTCTTGACATAGCCGTTTACTCAACTCCAAATGATTTAGGTTGGCCTGCCAGGAAATCCAAAATCTTAGGGAGCCAAAGTGACATCCAAATTGAACCCCCATTCAGAGGTTTTTACCTCCTATTTCAGATAACTAAGAACCAAGAAAGAATGCTTTCTTTTTTTTTTTTTTTTCCATCTAAGGGAGGAGATGCATTTGGGAGTGGGGAGGTGATCTGCAGAAAGGAGGAGAGCTGAACGCATTCAGTTACACCCAGGGATCGAGCAATTAACTAATTTAAGGAGAGGCTACACTAGCATCTTCAGTCCCCAAATTGTCTTTAAAAAAAAAAATTACTCTAAGACTCAAAATAGTAAATGCAGCTTTGAGTGTCAGGGCTTAAAAGAATGAAAGAAAAAAAGAAAATAACTTTGGAGAGGAGGCAACCTGTGGTGGGGAGAAGGAAACCACAAAACTGTTCTAAGCACAGGGCTCCACTTCTTAATGTAGACCACAAATTGTTTTAGCCTGTGATCAAACTCAGCCCCCGGGCTCCCTGGAGAAGCACTTCCATGCTGGCCCAGCTCTGAGTGGCAAAGATTGTCCGGGAGGGGTGTTTAAGAAAAGAGCAGGAGTTCTAACTTCAATTCTCTCCAGCCTGAATGAAAGTCCAACGCTGTTCCATTCAGGCGTCTAAGGGTTAAAATAAAGAGTGTGTGTCTGGGATACAGCTGGAAGCCATTAACAACTCTGAGACCATCTCAGTAACCCAGTTAGAGGGTGGGTGGCCTGGCAGAGATCCTGAATCCATGTATGTAATCACAGGCTCTTAGCATGGGGCGGGGCTCGATTGCTCCCTCCCACCCACTGTGGAAAAACCCCTCTTCAACGATTCAGTCCCTGTTTACACCCTTCCAGCCCATTCCTTGTTCATGAGGCAGTCCACTGCTTCAAGGGCAACTTCAATTACTAGAAAGTTCTTCTTGGCCACATTTGCCTCCATATAAAACCTATCCTTTAGTTCTAACTCTGCCCTCTGGTGTCATAACCCACAACAGTCCTACTTGTGACGACAACTATCCCTTGCCTCCAAATTCTCTCCTTCTTATGGCCAAAGAACCCATTGCTGCCAGCCATCCCTCACACCTGGTGGTTTCCAGACCCCTCCTGAGCCTGCTTCCTCTTTGGACTGGGCTCATGTTTCACAGTCCCTTCTGAAGAACGGGGCCCAGAACGAAACACATTCCCAGCTCTAAGGACACCAGTATAGTGTCATCTGGGAGGCTTTCCTTCAGTTTTGGATGGAAATTATTTTTAGGGAAGACACAGCCGCACTTCTTTGTAGGTATCACCACGACAGCATCTGTCCACCTCATCCCTAGGCCAGCTTTCAGCTCCAGAACACTGGCCTCCTGTACTGGGTAGTATTAGCCTGGCGATTATAGTCACAAAGCCAAAAAGGAGGGAGGAAAGGATGAATGAGCTTCCCCTGGGTGCTCAGCAGGGGAGTTCCCAGCTTTCTACCCAGATGAGAAAAGATCACTCCCATCTTGACCCTGGATCTAGGATCCATTCTCTGGGACCAAGACAAAAGATCACTTTTATTATCTATCTCTCCAAAAATCTTCCATAGCATCCCACATCCCCATAGAACACAAGCACTGGAGCCCCTGGTCCGGGTCTACCAATGCCCACCCTCCCACCAGGCTCCAGCATGGGGCCATTGCTACAGCAGGCCAGTCCTGCCTCCATCGTCCGTGCCCCCTTGTTTGCCTTTCCTGGAATACCTTTGCACCCTCCTGGACGGTCGTCCGAGAGTTTTCTCTTTTCCTGGGCTAGCTCCAGAGCATCTGAAACACCAGAGCTCTCTGGCCATTGACTCAAGAAGATATTTCTGGCTACGGGAGGCAGGTCCCTCCCCCACCATCCCACCCCCCAACCCTGAGTTCTTTTCTTCAGTTAATTGACTGTCCATATAAGCACAGGAATGAGCCTTTTGTTTTTGCTCTCAGCAGTTAAATGCAATGGATTGTCATTGTTGTTCTTTTGGTCTGAGAAATGTCCTAATTACGTCTTTGCTTTCATCATATGAAGTGGCTCTAGGGTCAACCCAGGTTCTGGCTCTTAGAGATTACATAAATGAACAGTTATATCCTAAGAAAGTCACCCCATACATAAACTGATTTCCACAAGGTGTAATGTTGGCCTCACCTTGCATTCCCAGATGTGCCTCAGATCAACTGTGATGTCAAAGCTGGAAAGATCGTCAATCCTGAGTTCGTTGTGAAATGTCCTGCAGGATGCCAAGACCCCAAATACCATGTTTATGGCACGGACGTCTACGCATCCTACTCCAGCATGTGTGCCGCTGCGGTTCACAGGTGGGTAGCTCTGAGCTACTTCACGACTAGCAACCAGGGTGCGGGCAGGAAGCCCCAGTACGGGCTCGCCTGCTTTAGCAAAGAAAATGTACAAAGTTAACTGAGCGTTTCTTCCGGCAACCCTATCCCGTGGAATTCTGCAGAATTCCGCGTGGTCCTGCCTTTCCTTCCACAGCACTCTGTGGAAAGGACTGACTCCTCTTTACACCTTAATGAGGATGGGAGGAGAATTCTCTTTCCTGTTCATGACAAGGAAGCCAAAGCTCTTGATGATGTCAAGCATTTTCTGTTTTTACCTGCATGTGCTGAGCAAGGAAACAATAGGGACGTGACTAAGGAAGGCCCAGAAGATTGGAGAAGAAATGTCACAGCCATGGGGAATGGCTGGAGGCAAATGGAACAGGAAAAGTGAGAAGGAGGGTGAAAGGTGGTACTGCTTGGTCAGCTGTTGATTTGGGACCCAGGACGGGAGGCATGACATGCTTTGGACTGAGTCACCTCCTCAATAGGGAGAGGCAAAAGTAACGCTCACAGCTCACAGAATTCTCATACCTCCTTTTCTTCGGCTTGGAGTCAAAACACAGGAAATGGACGCTTACTTAATCTCTTTGGTAGCGAGGCTCATGTGTATGTGTCAAGCACCTCACCCTTGTTATTTAATCCTCACAATTCCCCTATGCGGTATTATCCACGCCTCACAGATTAAGAGAGGCTGAGGAGCTTTTTGAAAGCCACACTATTATAATTTAGTATCAGAGTAGGGACTGGAAGCTAAGTCCAGTGCTCGTGCTCCTAACCAACACCCAGCACTGCTGTTGGACACGGCTCCTGAGTCAGTGCTCGGCTACCGGATACTGGGTGAAATTTCTGAATTATTCAGGCTTCTGGTATCGTTTTCCTTTTCCTTACTTGCACGTCAGTCAGTTGATTGTTCAATTATATCTTTGCCAGAGAGAGGGCAGAAGATGTAAAATTCATTCCTTTTCAAGGTGTCTAGCCAGTAGCCTCCCTGAAATTTGGGGAGGCAGTAAGAAAAAAATCTGTGTAAAATAAGATGTAAGACTACTAATAGATTTGGTTGGCCATCTCCTCCTTTCCCTACCACTGCAGTGGGATGATGAGCTAGCTGATTTTTCAATGGGACCAGGACTCCAAAGGCTTTAATAAGAATAAATAGTAGAACATTAAAGACAAACACAAATAGTAGAACATTGAATGCTGCTTCTTAACTCCACAGACTATGGAATACAAATATTTTGCTTGCACCCTGAAATCATCCTGCAAAAAGGGAAGAGGTGTACAAATCTGCACACATGTGCATGTGCATGCCTCCCACATGTGTGCATGCTCACAGCATCCTTACACACATCTGTGCTTGCCCACGCAGCTTTACCACTCAGCACTCTCCAGCCCGTCTGTACAGACACTGACATCTGCTGCAGAGGCTGAGCCTGTCTCAAGGTTGCCAGTATTTTTCCAACTGTGATCTGAGATGGCTGGCACTTGCTTCCTCTGGCACTTGCTGGCTCTCTCTTGCCTCTCCACGTTTCTTATGTAGGACAGGACCACACGAATTAATCTGACCTGACCAAAGATATCTTCGTAATGATAACTAACCCCTTATACTCTGATTCTCTCTTTCTAGCATCATCTCAACCCTATGAGACTATTGTTAGCATCCCCATCTGTTAGAAGAGGAACTGAGGCATAGGGACATTAATTAAATTGCTAGTTAGTTGCACATTCAGGATTAGAACTCATGTCCACCACTGCCCAGAGCCCATGTAACACATTCCATAAGGACAGGGGTCCCAGTGCTGCTTAATGTACTAAGTGAAGATTTGAGGAGGATTTGGACTTTGGGGCACTAGAGCTAGCAAAAGCTTTATGATGGATGGACACACCTCTAGGGAAAAAACAAGAAGGACATTGACAGGACCAGGACTCAGCAATTCCAGCAGCTGGGTTGGAACCTAGGAGCTTGCTGGGAGGAATACAGATGAGGGTAGAGGGGCAGAGGAGAAGAGCTTGAATGTTTCAAAAAACAAGATCTGCTACTTGAACAACGAAGTGCCATTGTAGCTTCGGGGACAGTGTCCACTAGAGTGGGGAACTCTATTTGGAAAGACGGACCACCCTCCATGGGAGGACCAATAGCAATCTTCAGCAAAAATAGATAGGAAGTTTGGATACTATGTGTTTCATTTTTCACAACAGCAGGAGTCGTTTTCAGAAGGCAGGATTTAAGACAAAGAACAGAAATAGAAAGTACGTGTGGGACCTCCTGTCATTGTCCTGCCGGAGTCCCCCACAGTCAGAAGTGGAAAACTGAAGACAGCATGCTTGGGTTTAGAAATTCAGACTTCATATTCAGCTTAATGGATTTAAAATTCACACAATATATCCTAATCAGGTGTCTTATGAGTGAGTCCCTTGATCCTTTCGAACCAAAGGATAACGAACAGAACTGAGACATCGTATTTTGGCTCAGTCTTGTCCTGAATTAAATTCTGTGTTTAAAGTGGGACCAAGTGTTGGGCGGCAGGGGCATTCCTCTGAGACGGGGCAATAAAGAGGCCATCTCCACGCAGAGCACTCTTCATGCTCATTTCTGACCAGAGGACCTCCTGAGAATCACAGTCATTCAACACCTGGCCCAGTGGTGGGAAGTCCCTTTCCCCTGAGCCAAGAAACTGACCCTCAGCTTACCCCAGTGCCCGGGAACCAGGGTTAGGAAGGAGGCAAACCTCAAGGTCATGTTTGGCATCATACAGGACATCTGAGGGACGCAAAGAAGTGGAACTGCATTTGCTTTCAGGGAATATATATGAAGTACCTTCAACTGAGTAAGGATACAAAGGAGGCCATGTTTCTATAAGTTATGCAAATGACCATGGCTTTGCTCCCATGAGCTTCATAAGTGGAACCACAGCCCCTTTCGGGCTCTCCCCCTCCTCTGGTATCAAAAATGATGGTCAAGTGTCCAGTGCTTGGACTGCTGTCGCCGCCTGTGGTTTACAGACCACTGACCTCCCAGGATCTGCCCTTCTGTAGGAGAATGTCTGGAAACATCCGGGTGCTCCAGTGAAGTCCACAATGAAGCTTCACTCCCTTCTGCAACCGGAAAAATCTTACAACACAGTAGGTCTACATCTGTACCTTTCACAAAGTCTGGGTTCTCGGTTTTACAAAACCCTCACAAGGGATGTCAGCAGTCCAGTCCAGCTTGAGAACCCCCTGGGCCCCCTCCATTCCCTTCAAATAGCCCGAGGGGAGCTCAGCACAGCCCCCCTCCCCACTTTCCCCCTCACTCTGAGTAGCATCTACAGTACTTTTGCGCACACACACATTTCCTCAATACGATAGACTATAAATCCAAGGGCAGAATAATTTCTCTGGGGGAAAATAAAAAGGCAAGAGTTATTTTTATTTTCCCCATTAATTATAAGTGAAGGGACCATGGGAGAATTTTTTTAATAATTAGAATTTTCAGCCTACACCAGTGATGTGTGCTGGTTCTCCAAAAAGGGAGGAGTTGCTGATTTACTAATTTTTGTGGTACAAATACTCCAGCTATGGTTGATTTCAAGCTACGATGTGAAATGAACCAGCTTGCACAATCCTGAAAAACTTAGCATTTGGCTTTCGAAAGCCAGTGTGAGCAGAACCTACGTACCACTGACAGGCCTTCTAAATACAGAAGCGCAGAGCGTTGTCTTTTCCATACTAACATTTCCAATCTAGTTGGGAGACAAAAGCAACTCAAGAAGCTTTTAGGAAATAGCACGAGATCAAATAAAACCAGAGTCTTGGTTGTGAGACAGGATTTTAAGGTGTTGTGAGGAGGGGGCCTCGCAAAATCGCGTCTGAATCTCTGTGGAGAAGTGGGTGTTAGGACTCGGTGACACAGGCCTGGTCAGGCAGAAGTGGGAACCAGGTTCTCCAGGGCAAAAAGAGCAGAATGAACAGAGACACGTGAGTGAGAAGCACGTGCTTTTCAGGGGAGCTGAGACCACCAGCCTGGCTGCAGCTGGGAGAAATGACATAATGTGATTCTGAGAGCTTCTGAGAGAAGAGAGGGTCAGGTTGCAAAGACATGAGGGAGCAAGGAGGAGTTGGTCTCAGGAGGTCCCTGTGCTTTTGAACTTTGAGAAGCAACTGTGACCAAGTGGGACAAACCCAGGATTCCCGGTCAGTTAGACCTGGGTTCAAATCCCTGCCTTCCTATTTACTAGTTACAAAATCTGCAGTGAGTCACTCAACCTGTCTCAGCCTGTTTCTATGAACTGGGAATGACAACATTCCCTCCACTCCATGACTCATGCGTTTGCTCAGAGGACCCAGGCAGATACCATATGTGGGAATAATTTTAAAGCAACTCACTGCTTTACATGTCAAATATTATTATCACTTACTTTCCTTCTGGGTCATTGAAAGTCATTGATTCGCCATAAAGGTGGGAGAGCAGGAAAGGGCAACTCTTATTCCTGGAGGGAAGGAAGGGTGTTGATAGAAACAAATCTAAGTTTTTGGGTTTATTTTATCGCCCTTGTGCCACAAATTACAGATACCCAGAGGAGCCATTTTAGCCTCTGGGGCAAGGAAATGACAATGTGAAAGTGATATTTAGGAACCAGAATGGAGCCCCTGCCTCACATAGAAGGAAAGAGGTAGATATTTCATTTATTGTCACGTCAGGATCTAAAACCTTCAAAACCCTATAAAGAAACAATTCCAGTCTTTGGGGACTCTTTCTAGTGAGGTTAATTTAGCTGCACACCTTCCTTTGCTGGCCCAAAATAAAAGGAATAACATGCATTTTTAAAATGTCATATCACCCTTTGAAAAAACAAGAGTCATTCTGTGATGTCACAAAACCAAATTGAAAATTGTCAGGAAAGAAGTTTTTACTTAAAAGAACTCAAGGGATAAGGAAACCAAGGAACATTTGAGGCATGGGGGCAAAGAGAAATCCCTGACTGACTGAACAATCAGGTCCTGTAATGAGAAAAAGAAGGACATCTGACCTGGGAGGTTCAGATGTTGGGCCATGTGAAGGAGGCACCATTCTCAGAGGGTGGGTTGCAGGTCAAGGTCGTTTTCTTAATCTTGCTGCTTTCATATCTCTAAATAAAGATGGAGGCTAGTCCGATAATCTGTTGATCAAGTCAAACAATATTTTTCTGTTCTTTCTTAAAAAAAATTTGTTTTTTTCCTCTTCATAGTGGTGTGCTCGATAATTCAGGAGGGAAAATACTTGTTCAGAAAATAGCTGGACAGTCTGGCTATCGAGGGACTTATTCCAATGGTGTCCAGTCCTTGTCCCTACCACGGTGGAGAGAATCCTTTGTTGTCTCAGGTAAGCCCACATGCTGGGGAAATGGCTGCTACACACAGACACTGCGGGTACATGACCTCATGGGATGAAATTTGCTCTTTTCAGTGTGCTGTGGGTTTTAATTTATGGCCCACCTCATTTCATAAAAAATCTGAAGCATTAGTTCTCCTGATAATTAGGATCATGAAACAATGAATTGTAATTACAGTGATAAATCACTCCAAAGTCTGGAAATATTAAAAGGCCCCAATTACTCATTTTAAACACACTGAAGCTATCTGTAAGTCCAATCAAACTTTTTAATTAAGTGACTTATATTTAATAACTTGAGTTTTTGAACTACTCCTTTTGTTAGGCCAAATGAATCTCACATCTAGAACCTTATTCCTTGAGATTTCTGGTAAATGAATAGATAGGGACATAGGCTCTAAGAGAGCAAAGCTACAATTTTATTTGAGATTTCTTTTTATTTAACAATTGTTTCACTAGTCAATCAGTCATCACTATCAAGCTCCACATGATTTTTGTAGATAATCATTTTTCACTCTTTTTTCCCCTTTTCCAAAGAGGCCAGTGAGCTAATGACTAGCATGATTTCACAGTGATAAAGTAACCAAGTATCTTTGTATTATCTTGACCCTCCTTCCTTTTTTTTAATATTTGTGAATTTCCCCAATCTAAACTATTTTGAAATTTTTTTAATCTAAAGAAAAGTTAAAAGAATATTACAATGAATACCTATAGTCCCTTCACCTGGATTCACCAATTGTTAATATGCTGCAACATTTGCTTTATCTATTTATCTACCTATCATCTATTTATATTTTGTTCTGAACTATGTGAAAATAAGCTACAGATATCATGACACTTTACCCCTCAGTACTTCAGCACAAATCTTATAAGAACAAGAACATTTTCCTAAATAACCACAATACCAACTCCATACCTAAAAATTAACATTGATACAATAATATTATCTAATAAATAGTTCTTATTCAATTGTATCTAATTACCCTAAAATAGTCTTAATAGTAATTTCTTCTCCTTCTTCTTCTTCCTCTTCTTCTCCTTCTTCTTCTTCTTCTTCTTCTTCTTCTTCTCCTTCTCCTTCTCCTTCTCCTTCTCCTTCTCCTTCTCCTTCTCCTTCTCCTTCTCCTTCTCCTTCTCCTTCTTCTTCTTCTTCTTCTTTTTTTGGATCCACAATCCAATCCAAGATCATCCATTGCATTTAGTTGCCATGTCTTTTTAGTGCCCTTTACTCTAGAGCTATCTCACCACATTACCTTTTTTGGTCATGAATGGCAATGACATTCTTGAAGTCCCGGCCAGTTGTCTAGCAGTATGTCCCACAGCCTGGGCCACAAACATGTCCAGTTATTTCCTTATGATTGGATTCAGGTTAAATATTTTGGCAAGGATACCACACAGGTAGTATCATAGAATATCCATTATGTCTTATAACAATGACCATATCAGGAAGCACATAAAGTCAGTTTGTCCAATTATTGCTGAGGCTAAATTTGATTACTTGTATACTTCACAGTATCTCTCCATGGTGAAGATACCTTGTAATTAATAAGCAATCTGCAGGGTGATACTTTGAAACAGCGTGAATAGCTTGTTTCCAATAAATTTCACCAGTGGTTTTAACATCTATTGATGATCCTTGCAGTAGCAAAAATTACATTAGTAATTGCAAAATTATAGTTGTTCTAATTCTGTCATTCCTTTCACATTTATTAGCCTAGTATTCTTAAATCAAGAAGAGATTTCCCCCACCCTCTGCACACTTAGGCTTCAAATTTTTTAAGTCAAATAGTACAAAGTCACCAACCATAGTACTGTGTGTGAGGTTTGCCTTGTCACAAATAATTCAGATAGGAGCCGTGAGAAAATGCTAAGTCTAGAATACAAATTTGTTGAACATAGAAAGAAATATAATCTCCGCATAAGTGTTTACCAAGTAGCTCCTGACTAAATAAGAGTATTTTGATCTAAAGTACTTAGTCTGCAATTCAAGAATCCCAACAGAGGTTTAAAAGAAAAATTAATTCCATGAGAGTAGAGATGTTTTGGAATTTTAAGTGAAAATCAATCTGCTGAGATTATTCCCTATAAATCTCAACTTCCATGTCCCCTCATTCCACCTAGTGACGTTTAACCGAAATGTTTTTTGCCAGCAATAAACATTTGTGCTTCTGCAATGGCTAGGAGTATCTTTTGAATGGGCGCGTTAGGAAAACGCATTTCCGCATATGGGTATCAATCGACTGGTGGCCAAGGTCCACTCCCCAGAGGCTCGAGGCCAATGAGTTTCCCCGGATGGTGTCAGAATCCTCCTCTGAAGGCTCAGATGCCTCCATGACCTTCCTCTAGGTCATTTCCAGTTTTCACAGGCTGCTGTGCTCCTTTCATTAATTCATTTTGGTCTGGGAGGGGAGGCAGGAGAAGGGATGGACATTTTTGGTCAGCATAATCTTCAGAAGTCCAGCGATGGGGAAAATCAGAGAAGGACCTTCTAAAACAGCCCATTTGTTTTTTTATTCATATTTCAGAAAACTAAGTTCATGCCCCTTCTGAACAGACACAGAAAGAACCACAGGACTTTAGATGTGAGAAGAATAGGAAATAGAGAGAAATGATGTTTCTGCAGTGCTCTGTTGATAAAGTGAGGTCACGTCCAAGAGTCCTCCTCGGGTCTGAAATAACCTCAGTTGTTGTGTATTTAGAGCAGGCAGGGTGAGGGCGGAGAACCTGGAAATGCCAAGTTCTGCTCCCAGGTGACTTGAATGCGATGAGGTAACTCAAGTAAGCCCAAACCTTTTGCCTCAGCCCCATTTTGAGTGATATTTATGGGTAATACTAGAATAACTTTTTGGCATCTCTATGGTGATATACAGTTCCAAAACATTTTAACTTTTCTCCCATAAGATCCTACAACTTTGTGTAGTAAGTTGGTCCATAGTTTCTGGATGAAAATAAATGAGAGCCTCAGAGATTAAGGCAGTTAATTAATGGTAAAATAGAAACAGAAACCTATATTTTTGTACTCCCAATCCCAAGCCCTTCCTGAGACCCTGTTGTTCTGTCTGCTTCAGGGCCTACAATCCTTCGTGCCAACAGGGTATTTAGCAAAATCACACACTAGATTCTGTTCCACCCCTTGGGCTCTCCAGCTGATGCTCCTCACCACCTCCTCCCAAGCCCCATCCTATAAAAATATGCCCTCAGGTTGGGAGCTGAAGGGCTTTTGTTATTAGATGGAAATATTGAATAACAGGTGAGAGACCTCCCACAGGTGTTTGAATTGTAACAGAGATCTAAGCATTAAGATATTCCTTTGAATAAATATTTACTGTGCATCTACTGCATATCAGACACTGCTCTAGGCACTGGGAATTCAAGTTACCAGGTGAGACAAATCACCTGCTTTTGGGGGAATTCTACATTCCAGAGACACTTTCTGTTTCATTGCGGGAACAAATTCCTATGGTGGAATTTCAGGTATGGCGACTGGTGGAGAAGCCGTCAGGCAGTGGCCTTCTCAGGCCATTGGTAGTCCTCAGGCTTGCTAAGTGCTTACCCAGCCCCATCACCTGATCGCTTTTGCCTTTTTATGCCTCCCTGGTATATATTAGCATTCCTTCTCCTTGCCTGGCATCTAAACTCTCTCTCCCTGGGTGGGCAACAAATGCTTACTTTCAAGGCTGATCTACGTTTACCCAGTTTCAGGTCTCCAGTGCCACAGAATTCAAATGGATCCCACAGGCTCCATGAAAGTGCAAGGTAGCCACTCCCACATAGCCAGCCAGTGACCGAGCTCTACAGCATCTAAAGGAGACCTTGGGGGAATGTTTTTACTCCATCTACCGACCTAATTAAACATTCAAAGCCACATATATGAAAACCTTAGCTTCCACGTCACATCTTCATGAGTAAAATAAGGGTTGCTAATGTTAACTCTGAGTCACAGAGATTTTACTTCCTTTCTAATATTAATAACACGCCGGCAATACAGGAAGACAAAAATGCCACTTGACTTTCTTCTTGTAATCAACAACTCGGCGTGGGGGAGACTGACTGATTTTATTGAACTCAAGAGAAATAAATTGGAAGGAAAGAATTCGCTTATCAGAACAGAACCATCTAAAACCTCTAGCTCTACAAATAAATCTTTTCTCTCTCTCTCTCTCTTTTGCAGAAGGTAAACCCCAGAAGGGCGTAACCTACCCATCGGCTCTTACATATTCATCACCTAAAAGCCCAGCTGCCAAAGCAGGCAAGTGTTCATGAGTGATTTCATCTAAATCTTCCGAGTTCGTAAGCACGCAATATTGTGTTTAAAGAGATAGTATAGAAATTAACACCTTAACTGGTCAAGCTCCACTGACTCTGGTAATATTTTAACGGATGCCAGGAACATGGGCCCAGAAATCAATGAGATCAGATGGCTAAGGCTGTAGAATAAGGCTTTATATTTTGGGTTTTGTTTGTTTGTTTGTTTGTTTTTACAATTCCAAGATTGTCTCTGTGTTTGTATCATTTTCATTCAGAATGACTATTGCCTTGAATGTTATTGTATTGTTAACTTTAGAAGGTGGCATGACATTTTGTCCAGAAATGTTCCCTGGCAGCTGAAAGGGAAAAGGCTATCTCTGCTCAGGTGTGAAATGAAGGGAAACCCAGAGAAAGAGGTGGCTTATGGCATAGCAGCAAGCAGCTAATCTGAGTAACAACCCAGGCCAAAGGTGCACTGCCTTTGAGATTGTGACGACCCAGCTTCATGTGATCTGCAAAGGAGGTACAGGTGGGCCTCAGGCCAAGAGGTTTCTGTGTTAAAGTGGGAACTGTGCTGCGCAGTATTGTGTCTTCGGGGCTACTTTGATTTCCCACACAAAGAGAAGCTGTGAGTTGTTTTATAAGGGATTTTGAATTGCTTCCAGAAAGTTGATGAGCTGCTGATTTTGTTCACGTAAGTAAGATGAATGTGATTTAAGGATAGCAATAGAAGCTAGCATTTATTGAGCATTTGCAGTGTACCAGGCACTGTTCCAAGGGCTGACTATCGCATTTACTCACCCCAACAACACCATGGGTATGGACCACGCTTAGCCCTAATTTACACTTTGAGAAAAGGTAGTGCAGAGCAGTTTACTAGCTTGCCCTTTGCCACACTGCTAGTCAGGAGCAAAGCTAAGAATCAAACCCAGACAAAGTAGCTCCACAAACATCTCCCTACACCATTATCCTGTAGTTTTTCATGCTAATAACAGTGTACATCAAGAGTCCTGATTTGAGGGCCGGCCGAGTGGCATGACGGTTAAGAACTGGCTTGGGACGCCAGAGGGCCCGGTTCGGATCCCACATATGAGGGCCAGTGACACTACCCCCTACAGCTAAGATGCTGAACAACAACAGCTCAACCTGGAGCTGGGCTGCCTTGAGTCGCCGGCAACGGCGTAGGCTGCAGCCCCTGCTGCAGTGGGTTGCCATGAGCTACCGTGTGTAGCCAGCAGCCAGTGTGAGCGGCCAGCAGCTGCAGTGAGCGGCAGTCCAGAAGCTGGCGACTGATCTGCCTCTCCCAGAAGAGCACAATGATGGTGCCAACTTGGGCCAATGAAGCAACGTCCTCCACAACTAGACTGAAGAACGAAAGGACAGCAACTTGTCTGTTCCCCTTCCCCCAATTCCCCAGCGCTGTTCCCATCTCCCCAATTCCCCAATAAAAATCTTTAAAAAAAAAAAAAAAACAGTCCTGATTTGAGTAGCCTTTGGCATACAAAGCCTTTTTCATTTTCTCCCCCTAGTTACTGCTCCAACTATATATATCTTTAATGACATCTTAATTATTCCAGTAATCTAGACATGCTTGGGTTTAAGTGCAAGGATATAGCCGTTTCCCACCCCAACCCCCAAGCTGGCCGTAGATTGTAGTGGCTCATGGACCATTTCTGAGATATCATCTGGGGCACAGAGAAGAGGAATAGGTGACAGATGTCTCCTTAAGTGACTGGCCAGCTGATGGAGGTAGAGTGTCCCTGGCCTCTCCGTTGTCTCATCTATGTCACAATTCTCAGTGACCTTTCTTTCCTTCTTTCCTTCCTTCCTTCCTTTTGTACATCACATAACTTTATTATTTTTCATTAGTAAATTTATTTGGGTGACATGAGTTAAAAAAATTATATAGATTTCAAATGTACAATTCTATAGTAAATCTGTATATTGCATTGTGTATTCACCACCCCAAGTCAAATCTCCTTCTGTCACCATATATTTGACCCCCTTTACCCTTTTCTACCTGCCCCTGTCAATGATTTCTAAATAGGTGATATGTGTGGATATCTGGGGCTAAGGGAGGCAATATTCAGCTATGTCCTAGCCCCCTCTTGTTGGGTCAGAGATCTAAGCCCCATCTGTTTCTCAGAGTTGGGTGTCCCAAGGGCACCTTTCTAACTGGCCCATATAGCACTCAAACACTGATAATATCCCCTCCAAGAAGGTAACCCTGGGAAAAGAGGGGTGGCGGGGCGAGCCACTACAGCCAAATGGTAGCTTAGATTATAAAACCCATTGGGTTTGTACATTCTCCACAGCAGAGATCATTTCCAAAACTTCTCTATCGACCCCAAGCACCACGGCCCGGCTTACCACAGTCCACCCACATGCCCAAGTCACTGACATCCAGGAGGATTGTGGGGAACTGGGCAGCCTTTCTCGCATGTAAATGTAAAATGAGCAAAAGTCATGGTTAAAACATCAAGCGTTGGTGACATCACTTGTCCCCGCTACCGAATCACCTCAGCCTTCAATACACTCTCACTGGGTATTACTATCCTATTGCAAGATCATTCATAGTTATCAGCGTGGGCAAAATGAAGGCCATGTATTCATTCAGGAACCATGTATTGAGCACCTTGTATTACCAGACTCGGAGCTAAGCTCTGAGGATTATAACATCAAAGGGATACTTGAGGTCTTGTCCAGCTTCAAGATAGAGGAACATCTCTTTAAAGTTATAGTCCCCCCATGGAGTAAATTTCATCAACTCAAATAAAAAGTCCAGTGAGAACTGGAAAAGGGTGGCCCACTTGGTTGCCACTCTTCCTTACATGATCAAGTTCCTATAGAAATTGGGAGAAGCAAAGAGAGAGAGATATGATGGCCAGCGGTGTTCAGGTCTCATGATGCCACTATAAAATGCTTCCTAATCTCTCCAAGAATGTGAGTTAACAGGCAAATCGGGTTAAGATGACCACTCCTCCATCCACGCCCCCAAGCATAACAACTTTCTTCCATGGGAAATTCTCTCACTCAAAAAATAGAAATTTTGATTCAGCGCTGTGCAGCTCCTGCTGAGGACGGACATTCCTGAGATTTAAATGCTGTTCCCCCCCAGGCAGTCAGCAACCATAGGCGGGCAGCTGTTATTTGGCTAGAGCCTCTAGCTATGCTGAGCTATAAAAACAGGTAAGGGTTGGTTTATAGAAGTTCACTGAAAGCTGGGGAGGCACGCAGCTGGCACTGCAACAAGAGAAGGGCAAGCCTTTATGCAAGGTTGCTGAGCAAGAGAGTCAGGAAAACCCCCTCCTGCTCCCCCAGGCCAGCTGCACAGTCCCTGCCCCAGAAGAAATTTAAGCCCAAGTTTATGGTAATAAGTTTGGCTTCCCTGCCCTCTCTGCCTATACCCACTAAGTCCATCCTCCCCCTGTCTTGAGAAGACTGCTTTGCACCAGAGCTCTAGAGAGACAGACCATCCTCTGATGGGAACCACATGCAGGAATCCTGAAGCTACTCATGACTTGCCTTCGCGTGTGTTCCCCTTCTGATGAAAAAATATAGAATTTGGAATCGAACAAGTGTGGGCCCAAATCCTGGCTCTGCTACCTACTGTATGTGTGACCTTAGACATGTTTCCTCTTGGAAAATCTGTTCCTTATCTTAAAAATGAGAATACTTGGATGGACCTCCAGAATTGTGATGAATATCAAATGTGAGTGCTTAGGCAGAGAGGTCTTCAAAGTGTCTGGCGCATGGAGGATGCTCAGTGAATATTAGATTTCCTGCCCTTTTATGTCACCCTGAGTTAGCATGGTAAGAGCCAATCCTCTGACCTCCAGGCATTGCTGCTAAACTGGCTTAATTTCCTTCAGTCATCTCACCTTTGACACTTACTGAAAGCATTGTTTTCCACTGGGGGAGGGGAAGGCATATCATGATAATAAATGCCAGCTACTGTCATTTTTCAAATGCCTACCATGTGCAAAGCACTGTGCAGGCCCCATACAGACATGATGTCTAAAGAGGACAACAGCCCTGCGAATCAGTCTTACCATCCCCATGTTGCAGTGAAAGGGAGCAGGCTCAGAAAGCATTAGTGGCAGGCTGGTGAGGGCTGGAGCCAGGAGCCCAGCCGGGCGCTGGCTGTGGTTCTCAAAACAGATTTGCACAGGCCAACTCCAGATCTAGCGAGTCAGAACCTCTGTGAATAGGGCCCTGGAATCTGCATTTTAATACCGCCACTATGATTCTAAGGATGAACCAGATGTAGGGAGCTCTGAGGATCTCCTGCTGCTGTCAAGGAGCTGGTTGCCCGGAGCTGCTCTTGGCCTTGTCCAAAAAGGAATATGTTAAGAGCCTAAGGGAAAGTTTGAAATGTCTGCCCATGCAAATCTTTTAAAGGAGACCAAAATTCCATGTAACTGAGGTTGTACAAAGACACTCTTACTGGTTTCATTTCAAATTGCTCAAAAGGAGCCTGGTCCCACGAAGAATTCACTTTGGGTCACATCAGGCATTATGTTCAGTAAGAAATTGGGAGCGGTTGGGTTAGAGTATTTTCTGTCTCTGCTAAAGACAATTCTATTCTGTGAAGGAGAGCAGGCAAAAACACCAGCCCATGGAAGACAGAGAGGTGGTTCTGTTGGTTGGATTTAGGACATGCTTAAAAGCATCTGTGTTCTAAGCAAGGAACACAAATGGCTGCCTCCACGATGTTTAATCTGCTCTCTAGAAAATCAGTATTACAAAAGCAGACTGAGATGTTCAGAAACCTTGAAAATTACACAATGGTTTGAAGAAATGATAATTCAGATTTTCACTATCCAATAAGTTTAAAGTGGCAAAAATGTTTACTATTGGCAAGTAGAAATTTTATTTTTAATTTAATGTAGTTTAATAATTTGCAAGTAAACTGTATGGTCAGTTTATTGACATATTTCTCTCATAATTAACAGTTATATGTTATTTCATAAAATATACAAGTGATTCTATTAAATGGCTTTCCCCTTGATGAAGTAGGTGGGACTTGGGCCTGCATCTCCCTAAAAAGGCATTAATTCCTGGTAGCGTTTACCAGGGGGTAAGACAGAAGAGCGCTTTAGAGAAGTTAGAAGGTTCCCTAGGACCTGTTATGAAAGCTCACTTCCTTTCAAGGTTTGGAAATGTCATAAATCACGTAGGTTCAGCTTTGCCCAAGGATGGCGTGAAGACTGGCTGAACCCCTGAGGGCACTGCCAGTTCTTCAGCAATTTGTCTGGCACAGTCTACATGCAGATTTAAAAGTGACCAACTATTAGCAAGAAACAGGGTAAATGGGGAATCTGCTTCCTGCCTTGACAGGCTAATGCCAGCAGGAGCAGATCAGATGGCAAAATTCCAACCCAATACCAGGGTACTGTTTGCTGACCTGCTCTCCCAAGTCAATGCTCCAGAAGGTGACAGTGTCAGGGTGGGAAACAAGCAGGTGCCAGTGCTGGGCAGTGGGTCTGAACATGGCTGGTCTGGGGCGATGGTAGACACTATTTTCCCACCATGCTGTACAAACAGGAAGTTGGATGGTTCCCACGAAGAGTGCAGCACCTTATTATCTCAGATGCTATCCTCTAGGCCTGCTGTTCTGTGTACCAAAGATACACCAGCCCTAAGCTGAGTGAAGGTTAGAGCTGAGATGCTGTGGTAGGCTGGAAATTCTCCCCCCTCCCCCAAAGATATCCACGTCCTAATCCCCAGAGCCTGTGAATGTTACCTTATATGGCAAAAGGGGCTTTGCAGATGTGATTAAATTAAGGATTTCGAGATGGGGAGATCATCCTGAATTACCTGGGTGGGCCCTAACTGCAATCTCATGTATCCTTATAAGAGGGAGCTAGAGGGAGATTTGACGCGCGCACACACACACAGAGAAGAGAAGGTCAATTGAAGATGGAGCAGACAGAGGATTGAAGATGCCGGCATTAAAAATTGGAGGGGTGTGGCCGCAAGCCAAGGAAGGCCAGCAGCCAGCAGAAAATGCAAGAGGCAGGAAACAGACTACCCTGGAGCCTCCTGAGGGAGCGCAGTCCTGCAACACCTTGAGTTCAGCCCAGTGATACTGATTTCTAACTCTTGGCCTTCAGAACTATAAGAGAATACATTTCTGTTCTTTTAAGTCACCAGGCTTGTAATAATTTGTTACAGCAACCTAGGAGACATACAGATGCTCAGATTTAGAAGCTGGCATAACCCCCGTGGGGTGTAGCGGGCATTTGCGAGGGGGGCTGTTCACCTGTATCTCCCTGAGGCACAGATCCACGGTTCTGGAGACATTCCCCAATGCTACCAGTAGGTAGCCGCTTGCCCCCTTGCCCTAAACCTTCAGAGATAATCCCAGGGCACCCAGAGCAGTAACAAACTGAAACTCATTTAAAACTGTGGAGGCAATCTAAATCATCACACATGGATGAAGAGCACAGTTTAGAGGGAGAATCAACAGGATCCTTATAATCTAATTAGTTCCACCACTTCATTTCACAGATGAGGAAACTGGGGCCCAGAGGAGTTAGTTGACTGGTCATGAACCACCCCAAACTAGAGATCTAGAACGCATTCTCTAAAAGTAGTCATAGTGAATGCCCGAGAGTACTTCCTATCCCCAGGCCAATGAGGATTGAAACAGCAAAACGTGTGTTCATGACCCATGGCTTCTCGTGTCTGGAAAATTAATCTGGGAATTAATCATGTTCTGCCTTGTCTATGTTGCTGTGGTTTGAACTGTCATTTAATTTTTTTATTGTTATTTCATCTTTGGTTTGTGTATTGGTATTGGCTTAGTGTTCATTCCAGACTGTACATTCCTTTCGGGCAGGTGGATTTCACTCTCCACAGTGGTCAGCACGGGTCTTTGCTCATAAGGAGTGTTCCATAAACATTTATTTCTATCCTGAAGAGCCTACCGGCTATTTTGTAGACCTCAGTGTAATTTCATTTTCTTACAGGTGAGACCACAAAAGCCTATCAGAAGCCATCAGTTCCAGGGACAACTACACCACCAGTCACCCTGATGCAGGTACCAGGGACCAGCCCAGCAGAAGCCGTCCACACTACGCTGCCAAGGCCATCCCCATCTACAGGCTCTCCCACCAGCAGCCCCAGACCACAGCCCGTGGGCCAGCGGAGCCGGGAGCTGGGTCAGTAGGCCGACTGTGTGTTTCCACATGCTAGTGAGGTGGAGATCGGGCTTTAGAGTAACAGCTCTGTCTAAATCCCTGCATTAGTGCCTATCTCCCACCTTTTGAGCTCGGGAGATACCCGAGACCTGGGCCAGGGGTATATGGTTGTATGCTCTGAGATTTAAGCAGTAAACTTGAGCCCAATAATAATAATTCAGGACTGAGCTAAGAGCAAAGCAAACCATGTAGAAGGGGCTTAAAATAGATTCAATAATAGGACTGTTGTTATCGTATTTTTGAAGACAGAATATTATGTGAAACTTTCCCATTACAGAATCCCCATTTCTACACAAGCTCAGTTGAAGGGCTAGTAGGTTTCTAGGTAAACACTGTTGAATTTTGTTTTGTTTTAAATGACAAGCTATATACTCCTGGAAGTCTTCAAAAATTACAAACAAACAAAACCAAAAGAATTCTTTTAGGAAAATCCAGATAGCTAAAATTTGTATTCCTTTTCTGATTGCTTTTTGTCTTACCCCTTGTATCCATTTCTTAAGTCATGTTTTAGGTTTTACCAAAGTCCAGTTTATGGAACTAATCTCAGCATTACTTCAAACACAACCTTAAGAGCTCATTGATAATCTAATCTCCAGTTTCCATACAGCTTATATGTAAGCCATCCTGGGTTAATACATACCTACCTCATTTCTAAAGGTCTCCTGGCAAAGGGGTGGAAAATGCCACAGCTGGAGTGTCACTATTGTCTCAGTAATTTTTTCCTAAATATTTCCCATCTGGTGCCACTTTTTCCTTCAAGGAGAAAATGCCGAGGACTTGCTCTTTTTAGCCTCACCCCCATCTGGCAAACATTACTACCACATAGCATGCCCTCCCCCCGCCCCGTATCAGGGTCCAGGTAGCTCTTTATCCATCTTTTCATTTAACAAACACAAATAAGCACTTTCAATGTGCTACATACTCTCCTAGGCATATTACAAATATTAGCCTATTAAATCCTCATAAGAAACCTACCAAGTAGATGAATTACTTTTAATTTGACTAACCCATTGTATGGATGAGGAAACCAAGGAGCAGGGCAGTGAGGAAACTGGCCCCAAGTCACAGCACTGGGCAGTAGCAGAGCTGGGATTTGAACCCCAGCAGCTTGGCCCTCCTGTGACTCCCCTCGCAGGAGACATTCCTGCCATAAACCAACACCCTAGGCACTAATGAAGCAACACAAAGCAGGGCCTGGCCCTCCTTGACATGGGTGGGGTGGCCAGATTTGAGGGAGCTAGACAAAATTCCCACTGTGATGACTAATAAATAATAATGGAATGCACATGGTCTATACATTCCCTGTGCCAGGTACTCTGCACACATTATTTCGTTTCATCTTCCCAACAACCCTATGAAACAGAGATTATTATTATTGCAGTCAATGAACAACTCCTGGGAGAAGCTATGATATAGAATCCCCAAATAAAAACACCCTAAAAATAATTTCTGAACTACATTAGACACCGCCAGCATCCTATTCTTGTTCAGCCCAGGCGAATAGAAACCCAGACGCACTACGTCTGACAACAAAAGAGAAAACAGGAAGGGTGCTGAGTGACAGGGATCCCACAGGCAGAGTTTTCTTTTTTCTTAACTGCAGGCTCTTGACTTTTCAAGCCCTTGATTCTTCCAAAGATTTCTGAGTAGCCGAGTAAGTTGTTTGCTCCTGGTGTCTCCTTAGAGGACATCCATTTTTACATAACACATCTAATTGAACATGTGGCATATTTCCTTGGCTACCGACACTGGGAGCTTGGAAATCCTGTTACAAGTTGGGCCTGTGCTGATGGAAACCTCAAGCAACTTGCCGCAGTGGCTCCCAAGCTGGCAAAGCTTCATTATTCCTGGCTTGGGGACAGGGGCCTTGGACGACAGCCTCCCGGCCCATCAGTGCTTCTTCATCGTGGTCCAGCACCCGCGCCCATGCGGCCCCACAGGCTGCGAGACAAATACTCTCAGAGCAAGCACTCCACGCAGTGTGCTCCGTAATTGCTAAGAAAGGAGCCAAATTGGGGAGGGAAGAAAGGAGAGGGGACTTTTAAAACCTTGCATTACCTACTCAAAGGATTTTCTGTAGAAATGAAGGGAAGTGAAAATTGATGTGTGAGTGCCTATGTCTTTTTTCTAATAACAGCTTTATTGAGATGCTTTTTGCATACCATACAATTCATCCATTGAAAATGTGAATTCAATGGCTTTTAGTATGTTCACAGAGTTGCGCAACCATCACCACAATCAAGTCATCACCCCAAAAAGAAACCTATACCCATTAAGCCACTCACTATGTCCCCCTAATCCCTCTTTCTTCCCATCCTAGGTAACCATCAACCTACTTTCGTGAATGCCTATTTTAATAGGCATTGGATGGCTATAGATATTTGCTGTGATATTTTAGCCTATTTAAATACTTTTTAGTAAATAATATTTAGTATGTAGATAACTCCTTTTATTCTTCAAATGAGCTGAAAATATTCTGCCAATTATAAGAGAGTAACTCTCCTACAACTGATAGACAAGCGAGCTATTGCATTTACCAAGAGTGCTCTTTTCTCTTACATATGTGACTATAGTCAAAAGATTTTAGCAGTGGCTATGGATGGGGGTGTTCAAGTGAAATCTAATTCATTTATTCTTTTGACAAATATTTGTTGAGTGTCTACTGTGTGTCAGGCACCATTCTAGGATCTTGGGCTACATTGGTGAACACATCCCACCAAGATCCCGCCGCAGGTCACGTTAGCTTAGGACGCCTGAGAAGTGTGTAGCTGGCACAGGAGCAACCTGCATTTGAGGTCTGTGAGTCATCTTCGCTCTACAATGAGGTAAAGAGCTGCCTCTCAGACAGGACATAGGAATTTGAAGGGAGTCCGGTAGGGAGCAGGATCGTTGCAGCAGGAAAAGACAGGCTCTTCCAGCCCAAGAAGGGGAGCTGACGCAGGTAGAAGGATGCCAAGAAAGGTGGGGCTGGACACCGAGGCCTCATCATGGCCCCTTAACTGACCCAGGAACGTCAACGCTAACAAGATATTGAGGAACAAGTCAAGGCTGGGGATGAGGGAGGCAAAAAGCCAGAGTGCAGAGGGTTCTCATGGGGCTGGAGTGACAGTGGCCTTCACAGGAGAGGCCAAGGACTCCACTGGTACCAACAGGAGTCAGGAGACCGCAGAGCGGCATCCCAGGGCCAGAAGGGGCAGCCTGGAGAACCATGTCCATAGATATGCTGAGGAAAGGGTTCTGGGAAAAATGGAAAACCCCACCAGGCATAGCTGTAGGGTCCGCTGACTCTACCACAGGCCTACAAGGTGGAATGGCTTTGCCTGGCATTGTCCTCCTGATCAGGTTCCTTTCAGGAAGTGCTATGGTTGCCTCAGCTGATCGAAAGATTAAATGTGTCCCCAAGGCAGGGTAGACCAGGATGGGGAGCAGAGCACCGCCTAGTGGCAAGACATGGTGATCATTCACCTTTCTGCCCCTCTCCACCCTCTGACCAGAGCAGCGAGGGAGTAGGAAGTGGTGCAACCTGGGACAGAAGAGAGACCGGCATCCACAGCCGCCCATCCCTCCCTCACACAGTTTCCCTTTTCACCAACATTTATCTCCTCTCAGAAAGTTTAATTTCCTTACAGTGTCCAGGGAAGGTTTTGTTCTTAAAACCCGGTCTTACACATCGTAAGACACACATTTTCCAAAGGGAAAATGGGAGAAGGTCATGACCAGGCAGGCCACAGTAGAAGAACTATAAATCACCAATAGATGTAACAAAAGATGTTCCACCTCACCAGGAATAAAATAAATGCAAAATTAAGCAACAAGGTGTCAATTTTCACCAATTCACCTTGGAAATTCATCATACCGTTAGCAATTTATGAATTAGCTTTAACAAGAGTGTGTGGAGAAATGACCCAGAATTTACACTGACAAGGATATAGCCTAAGGGAATTACCAAGCAAGGGTGAAAAGAAGCCTGGACACAGGTGTTGTTCATGAAAACTAAAAAGAGACAATTTAATTGTCCTTCATCAGAACAGTTAAAGAAGTCACTATACAGCTATTAAAATTTTGATGACTATGTGCACTTACCGACAGGAAAAGATTGGCCTGTGACAGAGTGTGAGGTTAAAGAAGCGGCTACAAAACAGCATAGGTACCAATCCCATGTTTGTAATTGTGTGCTGTACGTGAGCACATTGCAGAGCAAAGGGGATATAGCACTGTACCCCAAAATTGTATACCAGTATCGATTACATACCAGGAGAGAGGGATTGCATGGCGGGTGATTTCTTACTATCCACTCAGTGTATATTTCTACAGTGAGCATGTGCTGTCTTTATAATTAGAGAGAAAACAAAGCTATTTTGAGTTTGTGTCCAAATAATGGGTACAAAGACAAAGGAAATGAAAAGTGGACGGTAGACAGATTTGGTTGCAAGAGAAACAGGTTTTTCCATGTTTCCTCTTATTGCTTTGCTTCCATGAAACTTGGTTCTTCCCCTCACCTGGTTGTCACATGGCCCCCATTCCCCTCAACGGGACTTCGCATTTCTCTCTATAGCGTCTCCCTCCTTCCTTCTAAAGCCTTGCTTCAGAGAAATGTCCCAATAAATAATGAATGCTGAAGTGCATTTGTTTCTCTCACAGAGTAATTAAGGCTCACCCATTGTGTACCTTTAAAAATGACAGAAAGCTAATGCTATTTGCATCAATACCATGTTAACACAGTTTAATCAAATTGCTAAGTGTTAAATGACATTTCTATTGAAGGATTACTTTAACCTCCTCAGGAGTGGCACAGTCGAGGAGAATTATTGTAAGAACAATGAAGTATAAAAAAAATAACACTTTAGTAAAAGAAGGGACATACAAAGGTTATTATTATTGGGAATTTTCACTCAGTGTTTTGAGTTCAATCCCTTTCTTTCGTTCTTCCTTCTTTTTTTAAAAAAAAAATTTCCCATTTCAATGCCTCCTCTGGGGCAAGTTCAGACCGCCAAAGAACAAATTATGTTGGTTCTAACCTTGGTAATATCTTGTTAGATTAGATCATGGAAAGAAGCAGAACAGCTAAATTAAAATTCATGCTCTGGGGCCAGCTGAGTGGCTCCGTTGGTTAAGAGCTCACTCAGTGCGAGCTCTGAGCAACAGGGTCGCCGGTTCGATTCCCGGCCTGAGCTGAGCTGCCGCTGAGCTGACAACAGGTGGCAGGATGGCTCAGCTAAAAAAAAAAAAAATTTAAGTAAATAAATAAATAAAATAAAATTCATACTCTGATCAGTCAAATGTTATTACAGATCTCTGGTCCACCATCACCTCCACAAGCAACCAAAACAGCCCCCGCACCAATCCAGGTAAGAACCTAAACTCACCATTCCAACTACTGAGGAAAGTTAAGCTTGTTTACATGGGGTTTGTCTTTCCAAAACCTTGCCATTTGATTTAGATTTGGACAGAGAGCATTAAACCAGTTATGCCAACAAAAGATACTGCTCAAGGGCCCAACTTGTCAGGAAAAGCAAGGAACGCTTTAAATAAGCAAAGCTTTCACTCATTGCCATTCCCTTGAGGCAATTTTGTGGAGGTTGTGATAGAAATTCCCAAGGATCCAGTAACTAGGCTCTCATAAACCTGAAAAGGGATACTCTCTGGGGTTCATGCTTGAGGAACTAGGGTAAAAGAGAAATGTTTATCATTTCCCAGGAATGGGCAGAGCTGATTTTGCTTGGGTACTTCCATGATATGGGGGATAGAAATACAGTCTCCCTCCTCCAGGAATTCTCCCGTGAATTCTGACACTTCCTGGCTCCCCTTTCTTCACTTCTGTGTGCGCTCCTTAAAGGTTTGTCCCAAGCACTGGGAAGGCTAAGGGATGCAGCAAGTTCTCTTCTCTGTGATGCTGCTGAGGCCTGCCCCGATCAGCAAGGGAAAACGAGTGAGCTTCGTGGCTTTCCACAAATCTGGGCCCTGAGCTGGGAGACTTGATAGAAATACACAATTCCCTTTGCAGCCGCAGGGCACTAGGATGGGAGCCCAGACCTCCAAAGAAAAGAGTTCAGGACTTTCTCTGGCTGGGGGATACCTGTCTGTTCTCCACATGGTAAAAGATTCCTGGAGGCTGTAGGTCCTGTTTTGCTTTGATGCCAGATCAGAGCAGGAGCCCCGTGGGGTGCGCTGGACAGGGCTAGCAGCTTCTAAGAGCTTCACATGGCACCTTCGCCAATGTGCATGCTGTTGTCCTGACAAAGGGCTTCAGAATCGGATCACTGGGCGGGGCAAGGACTCCAGGCCATTTTAGGCCTTAGCAGGCCCGAGGGACCATTCAGGCAGCCAAGCGTGGGGCAGTCCTTCCTCTCGTCCCCTTGGCCAGGATCTGTGCCTCCTCTGCAACCCCCGAAAGCAGGGCCAACCACAGAGAGCTCGGATGACTTCCAAGGAAAATGTGAGCTAGGGGTACTTTCATCAGGGGGCAAAGTAAGGGAAGAAAGCGGACTGCTGGCCGCATGAAGATCAGCTGACCCTGTGGAAACCCCTCATGTATCCAAAGCAGGGTGTTCCGGGAGCTGCTTTCCGGAAACCTGCCGGAGTACATGTCAGCCTGGGCAGGCCGCCCGCTCATCAACTTCCCCCCCACACACTGCTGGCCTGCGCAGCTCAACGCCAGGTCACCTGAGTTTGGGGGCAGGCCCAGTTGCTTTAACCTCTAGAAAATGTCTCTTGGCTTTGTGTGTTCTCACTGTGTCAGAGAGAAAGTTGCTGCCAGTCCAGACGCCCAAGGGCTCTCATTGGTTTGGGTCTGCTTGAGAGGTCCCCCACCTGGGCAGCCTATGCCTCCAGCTTGCCCACCCCAGGACAAAGCGCAGACACACTACACGAATTAGACACGGCCCGGGGCTAGTAGGCAACAAGGCACAGCACCTGATCTCCAGCTCCTACTACTTACTGTCCAACAACCTAAGGTTGTTTCCAGCATTTGACCTCATTTCCTTTGTCTCACCTTATCACCTCTGGTTCTCAGCTCCAAATGAATCCGTTTCTTCTCCATTGTCTTTAAGCTCCCAATAGTTACACTATCTCATCGACCTAAGCAGATCCTCCCAGCTCCTTTTTTACCCTCAAATCCTACCCATTTCTGCTGCTCCTCTCTCTCTGCCATTATCACTGCAACTTTGCTCTGAGAACCTCAGACCCTCTTCCAAAGTCCCAGAGAGCCCTTGCCTTAAGGCCTCTCCTAGCCCCAGGTTGCTCAGACCTCCGACCAATCACGAAAGCCCTTCGCTCCCACTGCCAGACCCCGCCTCCTACCAGGGCTCTGTGAGTCGGGCAGGGCCACCTGGGCTGGTGTGGCTGCTCCTGCTGTAGTCCTGGGAGGAGGGCGGAGTGGTGTGCTCCTGGTGATTTAAGTTAGAACTGTGACTTTTCCTCTGAACCATTCTTCTGTTGTCTGGCTTCACGGTACCATGAGCTTTTTTTGATCAAATAAGCTTCACTGGCCTGGAAACCTAACCATGGAGTTAATGCTGTTTTCATGAGAAAAGGCTGTGAGGTCCCAACCAAACACCCCACACTGAGATTTGGAGAGTAACCCATTCGTAAACCTGGGCCTGTCGATGCTTCGCTGGGGTGACGGCTCCTGCCCAGGGCTTCAGACTGCCCTTCGCCTCCTCTGACGGCCCTATGCAATGGGCGGCTGGCGTGGTGACGGCTTCAGCACAGCTGCAGCTGCTGTCTGAGTGCTTCCTGTTTCACTACAGCAAGAAGAAGTCCTCCAAGGGAACTGTGCAGCCCTTGGGGCAGGAAGCCAGGCCCAGGGAAAGGGACATGGAGAGATTCACCTAGAGGCCTCTCAGGTTGCCACCTCCTCCTAAAAACTGCACCCCAGTGCAGTCACTGGGGAGAAACCAGAAAGCTGAAGGGCCCCGGGCTTCTGTCCCATAAAACTTGAGAGCCCTGAGGGCCATGTGTTATAGCTCCCACTTGGGACTTCCAGACGTGCAGGGAGCAGAGGAGCTGTAACCAGTGCAAAGATCATCCCCGGGGTCTTAGAGCAGAGATGGTCCCAGGCCCTTGCATTACAGGTCGTGTGCTTTTCAGCAGCCTCATCAAGTATCCTGAGACGCTAAGGCAACAGTGGCTTCTTGCGGGTGACAGGCAGACAGTGGTGATGTGCAAGCTCTCCAGCCTGCCCGCCGGGCTTCAGTGCAGCTCTGCCACTCCCTGGGCATCAGCTTCCTCACCTGTAAAGAGGGACCATAGTTGTACCTAACTCCCAGGAATTGTTATGACGTAACTTTGTAGGGCTTGGACAGTACCTGACACTAAGCACGCTCTCAGTAAACGTTAATGGTGTCTACATTTTTACCACGGAAATCGTTCCGGACCAATACTTCTCTTAGACACTGGTGGTATCTGTGGATGACCAAGCAAGGATTGTCCCCCAAATCATTCCCTGTGTATTAGGTATGCCTTATACTTGTCATAGTGACTTTGTGCACATTTACCTCCATGTGAGGCAGGGCAGCACAAGTCTTTACGACCTCAGCTTCACAGAGGACAAAAATTAAGATCAGAGAAGGCAGGCAGGTCTCCCAAGCCCCCAGATAGTGTCTGGTACACACCAGACAGGCCTTCTAACTCCGTTTTCCCACACCACCCACTACTCCTCCACACCAGAATACAAATGTTCTCACACATTTACTTCTTCCTCATTACTACCAAGTCCAAAAACACCAAGTCTCAGCTGTGGAAGTATTTTTCAGCCTTAAGCTTTGGGATTAAAGTGATTTGGTCCAAACTTGTGCCCTACGAATGAAACATTAATAGAAGGACAGGCTTCCAGGACAGGAGAAGAGGAGACTGGGTCCTGCTAAAGTAAGAGAACACCCAGCATTCTAATTCTGCATAACATTCAAGGGTGCGGAAAGCCTTGGGCAAAAACTGAGATGTCACCTTTTTTTTTTTTTTTTTTAGGGAAAGGGCAAAGTGCCCATTTTTACCAGTAGGTGGCAACAGAGTTATAAAGCTAAAGAAGCAGAAAGTTTAAACATTTAATCATAAATATTTTGAACTTGACGATCATCTCACCCAATGTGCTAATCTTATTCACAAAGGAATTGAGGTTCACAGAGGGCCTGCGACTTGTTCAAGGTCATACCCCTGGTGAATGGCTGAGCTACATTCAACTCCGCTCTGAGCATTACATCAGAATGAGCGAGAGCACAGGGTGCCTTTCAAAATAGCTTGGCTTCTTAATCGTGTGAAGAAAAATATCACTTCTTTTGAGTGTGTTAATAACTCCAGCATGGAGCAAAGCTGATGGTCTTTAAGAAATGATCGAGTTGATGACGCCCTCAGCGTTCAGCTTTCTGAGCTGGGTGTGGGTGGGGTGTGGGGGAGGAGGCAGGAGGGAGGGAAACAGCCAGTTTGGTGTCCTGGTGAGGCTGCCTAACATGTCTGTGCTGCCTCGAAGCCCCACCCCTTCATGATTCCCCCCGAAGAGGTCAGGGACTGTTAGAGAATAACCTCCCCTTCCCAACCACCCTTTCTGCTTTATGGATGCCAGTTGGGCAGGAGGAGAGGGCATTAACCATTTTACTGCACATAGCATGCCAGGTGCCACTTCGCTTTATTCTGCCTGAGGCCCACAGTGAGAAGCTGAGCCTCAGAGCATGAGTGGACCGCTTGCCCCCAGAAGGGGCCAAATTTCTTCTGTGTCGTTCCAAGGAAGAAAACACAGACAGGTGGGTGGGTGAGACACATATCCCTAGAATAATGCTGGCATATGTGGGTGCTTAATAAGTGGATGGATGGAGGGATGGATGAAGGCTTCAGGTCAATACAATGAAAAATTTCCTCCAAGTCTCAACAGTCCAAGAAGGAATGCACTGCTTTGGCTGTGTACGTAACGAGTTCCCTGTCTCTGGAGGTATTTAAGCACTAGCCATCCACTCACTTTGGTGGGGAAGTTGTAGAAGCATGCTGGGAGGTGGGGTTGGTTTGGATTGAATGACCTTTTAGATCCCCTCAACTCCCAGGATCCCTATTATCCCATGATGCTTGGTACAAAGTGAAAGAAAGAAAAAGGCAAAAACGTTTTTGTCTTTGGCTTTGAGGCCTTTAAATGAGAAAATCCCATGCGCTTCAGGTTGCTTCATCCATAAATCTGGTTGCATGTCCCTTTACTGAACTCCCTGCCACAACTGGAAAACGTTATCATTCTAGGGGTTCACCAGAGCCTCTACTGATTTCATCTAAATAACAAGTTTGTTTCTTTTTAATTTTGAAAATCAGGCGAAATGGACTTGTGGAAGCCTGGATCAGTCCTCTTAGATGCAGGTAATTATACCGCCCAGCCCATAGGATTACAGAACTAGGGGAGCCCAGTCATCCAGCTGGGGGCGCAGAGGCCAAGCAGCCTTTCTAAGAGTGTTCATCTCACACATTAAGATCTAATGATCATGTCAAGGGCACATTGGAACTCCCACGGGGAGGCCTGGGCTCAGGGAACCCAGTGGATGACAAAAGGGAAAGGCAAATACAGAGCCAGAGGGGGAGAGTTCCCTGTCCCCAAAGTGGGTTTAGATCCTCACTCCATCTAGGCAGGCTTTGATTTCCTTCTATTTCCCCCGCTTCTTTGCAAATGGTACTCAGATTTCCCTTCACCCAAATGAGTGCTGTTTGCTGTTTACTGCGTTAAGTGTTTGAAACTCCAGCAATAAACTCAGTTTTCTGGCTCTTGGTGCAAGGGCAGGTTTTACTGGCAGGTGAAAGACAGAGGTAGAGGGGAGGATGGGGCCTCTGGACTCGCATTGCATTCCCGCCCCCCACAGGGAGCCTTGGGCAATTTCCCTCAGAGGCTCCTGGCTGACACATGCCTTGACACACCCAAAGTGAATTTTTTATTATAAATAATGTGAGGAAGTGGGATGAGCAAGCTGACCTTTAATGGGGAGATGAAATTATGTGCTTTGCAAATTGGAAAAGCTAAAAAGCTAAGAGAAAGCTCACTGCAGCCAAGACCAGCAGAGCCCCAGCACCTTCCTCCACTTCCTGAGACTCTGGGAGGGTGCTTCTGGGCATCCTGAGAACAGGGACTCCCACTTCCCGTTCTGCAAGCTTCCCTCTGCATGCGAAGCTCATTATCCTTACCCAGCCTAGGAGGATTCTTATGTACCGCCTTTAATTCCTTAAATGATGCATGTGTGATCTTAGTTCTCATGTAAATGGCCTCTAAAGAAAACCCCAGGCTGAAATTCGGCTCACACACACAGCCTCTAAAACCACAAAACTCTTGCATCTTTATCCGTAACTCAGAGGGGTTGCATTTTAGAACCCTCTTCCTTGTTTGAGTTACTTATATCTTTTCTCTTTCCCTCCACTACATCCAACCCCGTTAGATGGTCCTCGTTGTGTCCCGTTCATCTTGACTCACTGACACAATCACCAAATAGCGACTGAGGACTTATATGTGCTGGGCACAGGGAAGGTTTATATGATGAGTGAGGCACATGCCCCGACCTTGAGACTTTCAGAGTTTTACAGAGGCATAAATTACACTGGCAAAGTGCTTAAGGTTTTCGAACAAGGAAACTAAGGCTCAAATCGAAGAAGTTAACAGCAGCAGGAAGCAGAACTCAAGTCTTCTGACTTCAGATCCTCCTGAGCACCAGCAGAGTATTGTATCTTTAGTAGGCTGTCAACAAATATTAATTAATTCTAATGTCGTAAGATGCGGGTGGTGTGGAGATGAGCACAGCTATCGGTCAGCCAAGTCCCCTGAGCTGGGTGTGAATGTCCTTTATGTCCCCATCCCCCCGTAAGGCCAGATGCTTCCTGTTCTTGTAAGTCACCAAAAGTTTTACTGCTCTTTCCAGGATTTGTTCCAAAAGAAGAATTAAGCACACAGTCTTTGGAGCCAGTATCCCAGGGAGATCCAAGTAAGTTAATTGACAACTAGGAGCCCAGAATGGCTCTGACATCTGATCTGCTCTCTCTCCTCTACCTACTCACTCCCACCCACACCAGCCTCTTTCCTACCCTGGATCTATTTATCTCCTCTCTTCTGTCACTTTGCTCTAAGGGGAAAGAGAAGCATTTGAAGGATTTAAATTCTCTGTGTGCGCGAGGGGGAGAGGATCAGATTTTTAAAACATCACTATGGCAACAGGGTGGGATGGAATGGGGAGACAAGAGCCAATGAAGAGAGGGGCCTGGCTGGCTGGCAGGGACAGTGGTCCCGGTGGAGACCATGGTAGACAGAGCTCAAAACTGGAAGTGGACAAGGAGAGAAATAGGCAGATTCAAGAGATATAAAGAAGGAAGAATCTAGAAGGTTGGAGGTGGAAGTACAAGAGAAGGAGCAGGTAAAGGTGATTTGAGCACCTGGGGTAGATGTTACTGCCATGAGGATGACAATGAATGGACCAGGTTAGGGCAGGGACATCGTTTACGTCTCTCATCATCTGCGAGACATTCGGTTCAGTAGAGAGTTGACGAGCCAGCTCTGACATTCAGAACGAAGAGCCTAGCCAGAAATTTAGAGTAGAAGACTATGAGCTATGGTTCAAAACCACTGAGAACAGAAAATGTGACCTAAGGAGACAGGACAAAGAAGAAACAGAGGACTTAAACCTGAAAATTTTGAACACTAAACCGGTTGAGGAGAAGCCACCTGAGGATACCAGAAAAGAGGGTCCTGAGAAAAAAGAGGAAAAGCAGGAGGGAGGTGGGTGTGCAAGCCAAGGAGAGCACACATGCAAATTGCCCCAGAAATTCACTGCAAGTCAGCCACCAATGGGCTGAGTCTCAGCCAGCTGAGTGTGAGAATCACCTGAAGACATTTTTAAGAATTAAAGATGGGGGCCAGCTGAGTAGCGCGTTGGTTAAGAGCTGGCTTGGGATGCCAGAAGGCCCCGGTTTGGATCCCACATATGAGGGCCAGTGACACTGCCCTCTACAGCTAAGATGCTGAACAACAGCTCAACCTGGAGCTGGGCTGCCGTGAGTCACCAGCGACTGCGGAGGCTGCAGCCCCTGTGGCAGTGGGTTGCCATGGGCTACCATATGTAGCCAGCAGCCAGCGTGAGCGGCCAGCAGCCGCCATGAGTGGCTGTCCAGAAGCCGGTGACTAATCTGCCTCACCCGGGAAGAGAGCAATGATGGTGCCAACTTGGGCCAGTGAAGCAACGTCCTCCACAACTAGACTGAAGAACAAAAGGACAGCAACTTGTCTGTTCCCCTTCCCCCAATTCCCCAATAAAAATCTTTAAAAAAAAAAGAATTAAAGATGCCCCATTCCTGCCTCATACCTACTTAAAGCAGACTCTCTCTGGAACTTGCTATTCAAAGTGTGGTCTGGGAACCAGAAGCCTGGGCATCACCCGGGAGCTTGTTAGAAATGCAGAGTCTCAGGCTTTGCCCCAGGCCCACTGAAAGAACCGATGCCTTTGCATATTTACCCTTGAGAAGCATGGCCCAGAGCGGTTCCCATGCACCTGTATTTGTTGAAGCTGCCTAAGTGACTCTGATACTTATCCGAGGTTAAGAAACACTGGCCTAATATATCAGCCAACACAAAGCGTTAATCTATAAAATTGTACCTTGTTGAAGAAAACCAAAGCAATTAAGGAAATTGGTAGATTGATTCCTATAGACGATATATCTTACCTTTTCTTCCTTGTCTTCCAACCTCAGTCCTCTGTGACTATAAGAAATCGCCCATGCTAAACATTTCATAACCGAATCCTACTGTTTAGTATTAATGTTGTCATCTTCAGATCAGCATGGTGTCATCTCAGGAGAAGAAAGCCCCTAGGTCTCAGTGAGCACATGCCCTCAGATGGCACCATTTAATTAAAACCTTCAGGGAAAGGGGGAGAAAAGGCAACCCCAATATCAGTCATCAGGCTAGTGAGTGAGGAGAACTAAGCAAATAGAAAAACACCTCACTTTCTTAAAACCTAGCTATGAAGTGAACATGCCCATCCCAGACACAGCTCAAGATGTAAGACATAAGAGAAAAAAATGGTCTATGAAGAACCAAAATAGAGGCTACAAAATCCCATGCATTCCAATTTATTCATTTAAAAGGAAAATCCCCTTTGGCCCTTAATCTAATTAATAGTTATTCCCCCAAAAGTGTTCCTTTTAAAAGGCACATTGAACTATGCTGACATCTGGAAGGAAAACCCCTCTTCAGAAGTTCTCAAACTTTAATGTGCACGTGAATCACCTGGAGATCTTGTTAAGATGCAAGTCTGATTCTATAGGCCTGGGTGGAGCCTGGGAGTCGTATTTCCAGCAAACTGTAGGTGCCAGTGGGCAGCAAGCCCTAAAGACCACCACTGCCACCTGCTGGTAAAAATTCACAATGTAAGCCCAGACCAAGGAAAGAAGGAGCTGGCAGTTTGGGGTACAACCATCTGGCAAGCCATGAAGCAATTTTGCTTCTCTTTTGCTTTAGCCCAGGTTTAGTGGCATCTTTCAACGCCACTTAATGATTTGTTTGCTTCTTTCAATCCTCATCTCAAGGATCGTGCTTGGGCACAGGTAGTTTGGGGGCATCAAGAGCTGAACAGGAAGTCAGCAGGCACTGTCCAGGCAGACAGGAAGTAAACGTTTGCAAGCTCCGCTAACAAGACGATGCACTCACTCCAGATGGAGTGGGGTAAGCCAGACCCAGGGAGGTCCCTGTCACAGCCTACTTCTCTGGTTTTGATCGCCATGAACCATGGCAAGATAATGAGGCACGTTTTCAGATATAGCTTTTCTCCTTAATCTGCCAGTTCTGTAGTATCACTCTTTAATAAATATTTCTCGTCGTTTGTGTTTAAAACTGTGTCAACTCATGTCCATTTCTTGCTTTCATTAAAAAAAAAAAACCCTCGCTGCCCACAGAGCTTCCCCTGCTGGGGCATGGGAAGACTCCAGGAACGTGGACACCATGCAGCATGCAATGCAGGGAACAGAAAGCCCCAGAGCAGCCTCATGGGTGCTCACGCGGCACTTAGATCCAGGCTTGTTTGGGCAGCTGCACCCGCCATGCGCAAAGGGCAGTGCTGGCCCACACGTCCTCTAGGATACACCAGCCCAGAAATCCCTAATTTTACCGTCTCTCTTTTTGTCTTCCCCCACAGAACTGTTTTGAAATATTTCGTCTCCCAGATTGCAGTTGTTAAATAATTCATTCCTCATTTTTTATGAATCAAAGGGCTATGTACCTTCCAATAAGAACTTCTGATCAGCACAGAATAATCAGTTTTATCAAACTGAAATGATACCATTTCAGCCAAAAGCAAACAAGACACCAACTTCTATTAGTGTATGTGGTTTTCTATCAATTACTATTAGGGTTTGCAAGGTTGAACATAGCATGCAGTGCCCCCAATCCTCCACACCTCCATCATGACCTTCCTATGTTCGCTGAGGTCTAGTGATATTAACCAGAACTGTCCTAATCATGATCACAACCAAAAGAAAGGGGGGAACAATCTAAGACAGCTACAAAGAAGCAGTGACATCTGTAGATACATGTGGATAATTTCTATAGCTGCCTCACCCAGAGCGTGAAGAAGAAGATTGGAATCAATTTCTCATTCTACCACCCCTGCCCCCCAGCACTGGCTTCACAGGTTCTCTCACACCTGTATGAAGACCCAGCATGTAATTCTAAACATTTAGAATGAGAGCGAACACCACAAGCTCCTGAGACTCCATCTCAGTGAATTCCACACCTGGGGGTCTGCCCTAAGATGCTCTGAGCCCAGGAAACCCTTCTGAACTGACTGACACAGAAAGTTCTAAAACAGTCGTGGTAAAGGAGTACTAGGCCACGTGTCCGGGACCTTGGTGCCTGCTGGGAATTCATTATGGATATACGTAAATGAATATACCCTGCATCTTGCTACCTCTTTTTACTTTCTTTCCATTGGAATCTCAGGGGGCTCTGGTGAAGAAAGAGGCATGCACAGGTGAATTTACTGAGAGATAACCAGACTAACAGAGCCCTCTCCTATTCCTCAGACTGCAAAGTTGACTTGTCGTTTTTAATTGATGGGAGCGCGAGCATTGGCAAACGCCGATTCCGAATCCAAAAGCAGTTCCTGGCTGACGTCGCCCAAGCCCTTGACATTGGCCCTGCTGGTCCACTGATGGGTGTTGTTCAGTATGGGTGAGTGCTATTCGGAATTCAGAAACCAAGTGATGGTGTTGCATGCTTACCTTGGTGCCACAAATAATACCAACACATCTGAGGGCCCCAATTCATTCTCTCCCCTAATACAAATGTACATGAAAGAAAATGAAGCATTCGAGATGCCATTGCAGAAATCTGAGGCTTCCAGAAGGGTCGGACAGGCTAATAAGCACTTGTAAGAGAAGGGCATTTGCACACATGTGGTTGGTAGAAAACACATTTATTTGGGAATTAGGAACTCTGTGTTCAAGTCTTAGCTCAGCTGTGTGACTTTGAGCTAGGCCTTCACCTCTCTCATTGTCAGTTTTCTCACCTGTAGATCAAGGTGGCCCCTTTCCACCCTGACTATTACAGCATTTGTCTGAGGGGCTGCACCCTGCGTTCTCACCTGTCCACCTAGAGATAAGACGCCTGGACAACATGGCGCTTTAGGCTGAACCCTTGCTTTCTCCAGATAACTTTAGACCAGCGGTTCTCAACCTGTGGGTCGTGACCCCTTTGGGGGTTGAACGACCCTTTCACAGCGGTCACCTAAGACCATCGGAAAACAAAAAGATATTTACATTACGATTCATAACAGTAGCAAAATTACAGTTATAGAGTAGCAACGGAAATAATCTTATGGTTGGGGGTCACCACAACATGAGGAACTGTATTAAGGGGTTGTGGCATTAGGAAGGTTGAGAACCGCTGCCTTAGACCTTTACGCGGAGACTGCAAAAACTCACAGGTAACACAGGGAGACAGGGTGAAAAGGGGGGTGGCTCCCATCGCTCAGTTGAGCACCCAGATGACTGCCCCCAATCCATTCTATTATTTCAGTGAGGGTAGAAACAGGGTTCATATCGACATCTAGTCTCAACCTTTTCTCTTATTTGGGATAATAAGTCAACCTTATTTCAGATATGAATAGGGTTCTTCCTAAAACAGATACACAGATATTGACAGATAATAAGCAAACAATGAAGAGATCAAGCAAGCACAAATATCAAATAATAGGTTGACGTTTGACCAAGAACCATCAGGGCAGGATAGTTATCTCACTTCCCACAGAGGACAGTCAGACAAAACATTGATCTGCAGTTTAACCTTGCGAGTGGAAACTGGCAGAGACCTTGGTGCCTCTGCTCGGAAGCAACAATCACAGCTTATTTGCTCCTCCTGAAAAGTAAAAACATCCTACCCGACAACATCCAGGGGTTCTCCAGACCATCCCAACATTTCCTGAGGATTTACCAGAGCAGCACTGTAATCGAGGTTGTTATATCAAAGACGCTCGAATATTTATTTTTGAGTCATCCAAAGAAATCAACAAAAATGCTCTAATTTTCATAAGAACCTCTAACATTTGTATATTTAGAATTAAATTTCAATAGCACATTTAATACTATCTTCCATTCCCCTGAAAAAAAATTAGTAGAGGAATCTACTAACACAGAGCCCTTTTCCATTTCTCAGACTGCAAAGCTGACTTGCCTATAGTTAGAGTCAAATATATGAAAACAACCAGCTGCGACAAATGCCAACTCTCAGTGTCAAATGGTCTATCTAGCTTGAGGATTTTAACTTGAAATAGGAAAATAAGTTTTCTTGGTCATTGTTTCCTTTCTTCAAAATGTCAACCTATTTTCATTCCTATATCACTTTTTAAAGATAGCGAATGAATAGCAGGCTTCTCTAGGGAGGAAATGTAAGCATTTTAGTGCCAGATGTCTCCGGTCAATTTTATTGGGGGTCCAAAGCTTGGTGTGTCATTGTGCATTAAAAATAGCTGCTTTAAAATCTGTGTATACCAAGGTTTATAGCATAATATGAAAATAAGGCGATAAATATGTCAAGGAAAAGAAAAATGGCAGAATAGTGTCATGTGCTGATGAGAACACGGATTAAAGAACAAATGTAGCAGGGAAGGAAAAACAATTCAAGAAAGACTCCTTCCTCTCAAAAACACCTTTTCCCCGCGTTTTCCTTATGTGGTCACCATTTGCAGGAACTAGTTTACCTCAGGCTTTCTAATTCCACTTTCTAAAATGCCTGTGTTGTTTGTCCTTTTTACCACCCAGGGTCCTTATTAATTTGGAGAACGTAAGGGAAATGTGTTTTCCTTCCCTTAATGCTCATATAAACTAATCAATCATCTTCACCCTCCTTCAGCCCCAGGGTGGACTGGAAAACACAATGAACTGGTGACAGGCTATCTTGCAATCTGGCCCTAGCTCTCCCGTGTGATCTTAAGCAAGTTACTTAACCTCTCCATGTAAGTGCTGCCATCTGTAAAGTATGGGGGGTTGGGAGGTCACAGTGGATGATTTATCAGGGCTCTGCCAGCCCTGGCATCCTGTAATTCAGTGACCTGCTCAGTACTCAGAAGACATCCAACAAATGAATATTGGGTCATCGGATTGCATGAGCCGCCTCTCCCTTCCATCCAACTAGGTAGGATGATCAATAATGAAATGACGACATGCACTGAGATTATGCATCCACCAGGAGAATGTAAGGAATAAAATAAATCTGAGCGAGGCATGAGAAGGGGCTGAAGGGGAAATCCAAAAGCTGAAATTTCTTTTGATTTCTGCTGCCTGGCTTCCTCGCCTGGGTGGTTCCCTCCAATCCTTTCTTTACCAAATGGTCTTGATGCACAGAGAGGGAAGCAGTGGGACAGGAAAGGGTAAGGAGACAGAGGTAGATGGAGATAATGGGCCTGTGTTTCTGGAAAAGGAAAAGCAGGAGGCACCAATACTTGTCTGGCTGGGAAACTGATTCCTCTCATGTCATTTGGGGTTCTCACTGGATTCCACTGTCCCTTTTACAACCCCTGGCCATCACAGAGCACTGGGGCCTTGGAAAGCTCCTGGGTTGCACCTCCTTGTGCTGTAACGAGGAATGAGGCTCCAAACGAAATGGCCACCCCATCAAGAACAAGCACTCAAAGGAGAGGCTTAGATTGGGCAGGAGCAGGTCAAGGAGGGAGGACTCTGCCTGGGAATGTCCCCTCCTTGCCGGCTTGTTATCTCCATTATCACTGTCGCAGGTCCACAGGGCTCCCCCGGAAGATTCCTCCCCTTGGTTTGCCTTAGGACAGCTGAGTCAGGATTTAGACTTTTAAGTCTAAATTTAGACTTTTAAAATTAGATTCAAAAGACTTATACTAACTATTGACAGCGAACAAAAGGCAAATAAAAAATAAAAATATAAGAAATATAAAAATGGTCTGATTTACAAAATGCCATGTTCATTCCTCCTCCTGATTCCTAAATATCCTACACAAAGATCTTTTGGGCACAAGAAACAGAAAACCAGTCCTGGGAGCTCACGTGAAGGGAGACTTACGTCACAGGACTGACAAGACATCAGTCCCTCCCTCCCTCCTCCTCTCCTAGCATCTCTGTGTCTCTACTTGTCCACTAGATTCTCCTCTCAGCAGACCAGCATCTTTTTCTTTCAGGCTCTAGGTTTCTGCCCCTCCATAACCTCACCTTGCCCTGGCTGAGTTCTACTTCTGGTCCAGCCCTGGGCAGAGCCTCAACCACTGTGACACTGGCATGCGCCCTCTCCCAGTCCCCACACCTCTGCACATGCAGAATCTTGGAACCCACAATTGCGCTAACCTTTTGGCAACCACAGCATTCCTTCCACAGTCATCACGTATCTCCAGTAAGAAAGAGAGACGGCATTGGAAACAGACTCAGATCAGGTTAAGTGACTTGAGTGACTTTCCCAAGAACACACAGCTAAATCCATGACCACCGGGGAGAGGGCTGATATTAAACCTTGGGATCTTCCCTACAATGTCCAGCAAAATTCACTTAAAAGCAGAGATTTTTCTCATCTGCCCAGAAAGCTTCTGATAATTGAAGCTTTCCACCAAACTGAAGCCTGAGACACTGTGCTTGAACAAAAGGCCAAAGAGCAAACCCTTGTCTGGCATACACATCCTACTTCAGAATTGCATGGCCAACAGGTTCGTGATTGCACTTACTACCAACAGGACACTTAAAGGGCTCAATGGAAGAGCCAGAGCAAGTAGCTCCTAGGTGAACCGTAGCAAACAGAACGAACGAGGCCAAGCAGCTTGCGTTTTAGCTGCAACCAGATCCAGAGTGTCTAAACACCGTCTAGACCTTCAGTATGATTTCGTTTTAGTCCCTAATTTCAGTATAAATGGAACAGGATTGCACATGTTTTGTTTTGGGTTTTTTTTTAACATTATAGTCAACCCTCGGATGTCAACATTGGAGAACAGTTATAGCATAAAGCAAAATGGTGGTGTTTCTTCATGGAAACATGAAATAGACTTTTATTTGCTCATGGTACCATGACAGTTGTCCTGTGTTTTAGGGAGTCGCTCTGAGTTGGGCTGCAACTCCCTTCTCTTCTTAATTCTCAGCCCCAGACTAAAGACCCTCAGTCACGCACTCAGTTGAGTCTCCCTTCTGGACCCCAAAGAGCAGGAAGAATGCCCAGAGGCTGCCATGGATCAGCTGAGCCAACAAGTGCAGGCCAATCAGAGTGGAGGGAAGAAGTGAGGTGTCCGGTCTGGTATGGTAGGCAGAGTAATAGCCCTGTCCACGTCCAAATCCCTGGAACCTATGAATATGCTTCCTCGCTTGGCAGAAGGGATTCTGTAGGTGTGATTAAAGTTAGGGACTCTGAGATGGGGAGATTATCCTGGTGTCCCAAGTCCCGATCTAATCACATGACTTCTTAAAAGCAGGGAACCTTTCCCAGCTATTGTCAGTTAGAAGGTGATGTGACTATGACCAGAGAGATGCAATCGCTGGCTTTGAAGACGGAGGAAAGGGGCCATGAGCAAGAGAAGCAGGCGGCTTCTAGAAGCTGATAAAACAAGAAAATTGATCTCCCCTAGAGCCTTCACAAAGGAAGACAGCCCTGACAGCACCTTAGCTGTAGCCCAGCGAGACCCATGTTGGACTTCTGACCTCCAGAGCCATAAGCTAGTAAGTGTGTGTGTA